GCTTATGAATGTTTTCGATTTTTATTTGAGAAATGATCCTCCAAATCCAAATTGAAGAATAAATGATCCTCCAAATCTAAAATGAAGAATAAGTATCCAAATCATTCTAATTTTTATTTTTCTAATCCATCATTATCATTATCCATCAGAATCCAATCAAAGCATCAATATCCATCATAATTCATCCCTGCCCACCACTACCCATCCAAACCACCAGTCATTCTTGTTGGTTATCAATTACCTTCTACAAGGGTCGTGGATCCCGTGGAACAGCCCACGCAATGGAGCAAGACTACAAAGAGAACAAACCAATGCAACTACACAACCAACCAATGCAATGGAGCAGCCAACCAGTACTGTCAAGCAGCTAACCAATATAACAAAAACAAAGAACAGCCATGCAAACGCAATGGAAGCAGCCAGCCAATGCAACGGAGCCGCCAACCAATGTTGTAGAACAGCCAACCAGTGTGATTGATGCGATTCTCATTCCTAACTTCCTTACAAGAGTGATATGAATGTCTTTCATGATGGAGGAGCACACCGGTTCAATACAAAAGCACAAATGCCAAGCAGGACATTGCTGCTGTGTTGAAAACGCGTGTGACCCTAAATGAGGTCAAACGAAGTTGCGAGTAGCAAGCCATCGACTTGCGCGGACCAGTGCTTTGATTGAAAAAAAAGAACCTGAGAGTAATGGGGGTGCGAAAGTCATCCGTTTAAGCACTGGTTTCCTACGATCGCCAGCATTATCAAGAGACCGTGGAAAGTCCATGAAACATAGGCCCTGCTTTGGGGCCAGGCTGGAGTCGTGAAACATGTATCGTGCCACTTCATGGCAAACTCTGCGCTCAGTCATCAGGTGCATACGCACGGTGTCCCAAGCTGACATCCTTGCAGACGTTTGCAGAGCACCACAAGTGCAAAGCAATGCTCAAGCGTTGATCCAGGTGATTGGAGACGTATTTCAGCAGCGCGCCAGTCTCCCGACATCACTTGATCGGACCCCGGCTCACCGTGGCAGATGCACGGTAAACCTAGCACCAGACATTGTGTCTGTCTGTCAACTCATCATACAGACTCAAGAACGGGTTCTTAAGAACTTAGTCTGACTTGCTTGGGAGATTACTTGATGTTCACTTCATGGCTTCTTCTAGCATCCTGCGCGTGGCCGCCATGGGATCTTCTTCTTCGGGCTTGTCGGCATCGTGGATAAAGTCCTTGAACCTCAGGCGCACCACTGCATCCAAACGTTTCTCAGGATAAAGCTCGTCGGTAGCCTGAACCTTCCAACTGTCTCCCTCCTTCTGAAGGGTAGCCACCAGCCAGACTCCTGTTGATCGAATGCCCTCGGGTCGTCTGATTCGTACCAAGTCCTGCTGACCCGCAGAAATCTTGGCAGTCCAGGGCGACTGGCTCTTTGCCGTCGTGAAGCCCTGGTTCGAGGAAGCGTCATTGATCGTCTCTTTACTGGCCACCTGCGCGATTAGTGCTACCAGTGGGACCTTCTTCAGCTTGGACAGATCCACCGAGCTTTCTTCCACGACGGTGGGTGGCCCATCATCACAAAACTGCCACCAAGAGCACTTGGGAATGAGGCCTGAGTTTGGGCCTGCATCCTCCGCGGCAACTTTTGCAGATACAGAGCCACCTGCACATTCCGACTCCAGCAATGGATCAAAGAGAGGTTTCCGCGGCCCCTGTTCACGCAGAAAGTCACCAAAGCCAACTGCCTTCCAGTTGGGCTTCAATTGCTTGGAGGCCGCGTTTTTGGGGTCGGCAGTCTTGTCCCGCTCTGCTAGGTATGCCGCGCCACTGGTTCTCTTCATGGCGATCTAGAGGAAACCAAGTAGAATCAGAGAAGAGCAGGCGATACCTTACGAATGCATCCGCATGCTTGCCGCCTTCCAAGAACACATTAAGCTGAATACAGGATCTATCTCGTGGCAGATTATTTGGACTTGAGCCAGCTGTGCCAGAAAGCGGCGATTGAAACAACAGCATCGCCCACGCAAGTGGTAGTTCCTCATTGAAAGCGGTCTCTCTAGACTGTAAGCCCCATGCCAGTAAAACGGGAGCCGCGTGCCGATTGCGTTCCGCAACCTGGGCCACTGGCCTCAGCCACGGAGCGCTCTGGGATCGAGAGCTGCCTGGATGTTGGTGCTCAGACTCTCTGAGTTGACACGGAGTGTCTTTGGACTGAGGCCAAGTAGTTAGAATGCTCCTCAAACCAACTTACAGCCAGCTGTTTATGCTTGAGGGTGCCCAACTTAACGGACAGAAGGCCTGTCTTAGGCTGGCACTGTGGCACAGACCCAAGCATCTTCCGACCGACACACATCCCTGCATATCTCCTTGCCTAGAAAAGCACTGGAAGAGGAAGGCAGGCCTTCGGAGCCTGAGGCCATTGCTGCCGGGCGAGCCGTGGGTCGTTCATCCAAGTCTGGCCCTTTGCGACACTGCAGGTTGCAAGAAGTACAAGAAGTGTCTGCGCTTGTTCGGTGAGATACAGGTCAAGAGCTGAGCAGGCAGCTGCCCGAGAGGTGTAGGTATCATCCGGACGCATTGGGCCAAGCCTGGCAACAAGAGAGAATGTCAACTTCCTAATCATCAGACTTTCCATGCCGGCAGCACACGTCTCGTGCACGGAACCTGAGCCGAGACATGCAATTCATTGTCTACGCGCACCAACCCCGGCGCCTGAAATCTGCTGAGCTGGGAGTTGGAAGAGTACTCGGAGCACCAAACTTCATACTTTGAGGCCCACGCTGTCCGGAGCCCTGCTCCTGATGAATATCAACAACGGGAAAAATTTCCCAGCCTCAGGCTGTTTTGAAATGTCTGAAGCCCATCCTGGTACATGCCAGTCACGTCGAGCCTGGGAAAACACAAGCGAGAATGAGCTCGACGAGTATGTGGGGAATTCACTGTGGATTTGAAGGAATGCTTCGGATTTCTGGAAGCAGAATACCCCAAACGGCCGCGGCAGGGTCGCCAACAGTTGGGCAACGTGCAGCATTATTTTTCTATCCTGGTCTCCGAGAGTCCGGCAACTGCACCCCTTGTGGATTTCGTGACTGACCTGCTTACAGGAAGCTCAAACATTGCAAACATTTGCATCACTTTCGTCTGCCTGGCAAGTTGGATGGCATCGGCCAGGGCGCCGCCACACAGCCAGCGGACCTACCACAAATCAAAACATGCCTGGAGGAGCCAAGATCCCGCCTCGTCACTCCCCCACTCCCCCAATGAACCCCGACGCAACATGTAAAGCATGACAGGGCCACTGGTTGGTGCCGGCAAAGCCTCGCAAGGAAAGAGGGCGCATGTTCACAGACCCCGCAACTGTAACTCTTTCCCCCCTACTTGCAAACAGTTGGCAGCACGCATCTCCTAGTGGGCTGGCATGATATGTGCACGTGCACCCATCGCTGCTTAATTTGGGCCAGGGTGCCATGGTGCGAGGGCAGCTGGTGCGTGTTGACTTGCCTGAGGCAGGTTCTGCAAAGGAAGAGCGCGAAAACCGCGAAGATCTTCGGCTCCAGACCCCGACGCTTGCTGTGGGGTGATGGCATATGTCACCTGATAGCCAAGGAAAGTCAAGAGAAGCCGCCAGGATGCTAAATTCAAGGCGCTGACTTCGAGCCCTTCACTGGTAGAGGTCCTAAGATTTGCACGCTTTGCGATGATGAAGCATTAGGCGCGTGGCGAGAAACGCCACAGCAAGCTGCCACACTTCAAAACCGACAGCCAGCTGGTGAAAGCTTTACAAGATGCAGATGCGAGACGAGGCTCAAGAGCGACCGGCCAGCCGACTCATTTGAAGGCACGGATGGTCTGCTGCCAAAGGGAACTGAGCCTCCGTGAGGACAGCGAAGCTGGGTTGAATGGACATGGTTCTTGACCCGGGTATCCTTCCGCCTCTGATTACGGCTTGAGCTCAGATATCTTAAAGAACGTCCATGTAGAAACTGCAGGCGAACCTTGACTGGCAGGGTTTGCCGCCGCCGGCATCTCGTAGGTACTTCGAGCCTTGACAAACAAAGATGCATCGTCCCCTCATGTAATAGAACTTCTTAACATTTTTGAACTTGTCATCTTGCAGCTGGCATACGGCGAACGTTCATAAAGACAATCAACCCACGTCGTCTGAGAAATTCGCCTGCGGCGCCTGATTGTTGGACTGCAGCCTTTAGGCGGAGACGCCCGAAAGCTCCACTCAATGGATCATGATGGTACTGCGTCTGGTCACTCCAGTTGTCAACAGAGTCTCAAGCTGCTGATGGAAGCTTAGAGGGCCGGACCTCGGCGAAAGCACGGGGCAGCACATGAGGGCAGCGGCGGAATGATTTCTGAGGTTTGTACGGCTGCTTCAGAGTAGAAGCTGGCCTTCGACAGCCCAATGACACATACACGGAATTCCCAGACAGGACGAAGGTTCGAGGCACCCGCGGAACTTGCCAAAACGCTGTGCCCTCCAAGCTTCTCATTTCCTGCAAGTTTTCCACACGTTGCGGTTCATAACACGGCGAGCAAGCTCCAGCCTCATGATTGCTCGGCAGGGCTCCGCAGCCCGTCCAACCACGGCCAGACTGGGCTGGTGACGGCGGCATGCTCGGCCTTCCGTCTTCACGGGCACACAAACACAAGGAGGGGAACCTGGCGTATGATAAGCGTCGAGCCGGCTGTTGAATGCGGGCGAGGACCTGAAGCAGACAAGTTGCCACATGTTGCCGCCGCCTACGGTCATCCACCAGCATACAAGGCGAAGGGGCCTGAAATCGCCAGAATCAAAGGCTCCGATGTCGCCAATGATCCGCCTGCCGATGCATAAGAATCAACAGCGCAGGCACCTGCGAGTTCATCGCCTGCCTTTGCTCATTTCCCGACACGCTGCCATAGAACCTGTACGCTGACATCTGTAAAGTGCTTGCTGACAAAGTTGATTTGTACAGTCTTGGGAATGGGCGCTGCTTCGTTTGTTCCTCAGGTGCTCAGCATGCATGTGTGTCATCTTTAGCAGACGCTACCCATCACAGGAGATGTTCACCAGACGGTGTAAGCACCAGACCAACTCATAACTACATGAGAAGCGGCACTTCGGCAGGATGTCTGAACATTCCGAGCCTGACCCTCTTGTCAACAGACTCAGTGCCCCTTCTACTATGAGCGCCGAGGCAAAGGCCCAGATTTGTGGCCCATGGGTTCCAGCCCTGGCAGCAATCACAACAACCAAGCATTTAGCAGCATCATCACCGCAAGCTATGTCCCAACCCAGCCCCTACTCATGGTATCCTGAGGTTCGACCGGGCCGGACATCTGTGAGGGAAAGGGCTGCCAAGCCTGCAGGTTTCATGGCAGAGGACATGAACTGTCTCATGCAAGTCTTCAGCCAACTCCGGGCTCCCAAATGTGAAAAACTTGTCTCAAAGAGCATAGTCAGCTGCAGCGACAGCAACCTCGTGGCTCCCATGGTGACATGGTGTCCAGCTTGCAGGCTTGCAACACCTACTGTGTCAAAGGCCTCTCGAGGAGTATTCAGTGAGGTTGGAACCTGCATGCAACACAGCCTCCGCACTCTCAAGCCAGCATGAATCCGGCAACGAATCCGGCAAACTGCAAGGCCGCGAGGCATCGAGCAACTGAGCAAAGCTACAAAAGGCTGAGTGACAGCAACTTGATACCAGACATTTGTCATGGGAAGTCCTTCGGCACCTGTTTGGGTCAGAACTCATGAACCAAAGGCCTGTTCTCGCAGTCACATATACCCACATAAAACTGTGCAGCCGCGACGATTTTCGAATCGCCTCAAACTCAGCCCAAGCGACACAATGGCGACAACTCAGGATGATCAAAAGAGTTGGTCACTGCCCCGGCGATGCAGAGCACATTATCAAACGTTAGCATCGACAGTAGCCAGCTTCTCAAGACTTAAGCTGCGCCCTTAATTCCCTCGCACAAGGACAAAGCTTAGGGTATAGCGTTGAAGGACTAGGCTAAAGGGACGTGAAGAGTAGCAGGTCAGGCCTGTTGGCTGCCACATGCCACTCCGTGTCCACTCATCTGGGAGGGAAACGACCACGCCTGCTTCACAGTCGCGAGTGCCCAGTTCCCGAGCAAACCACCCCCCGATGCCAACAAGCCTGCTCTGCGTTGCGGCTTGAAGGCTGCGAGGCAGGAGCTTGCGTGGCCTGTCTTTTCTTGTCACTTTCTGACACATCAGGCATCAGCAAGTGCATAGTCAGATGGTGATCCGAATCGGCACCTCAATGAGAGTGCAAGCTCCACTACTGCCAGCGGGCCTGCTGACTACTGCCTTCTGCTCCTGGCATACTCACCTGCGAAGGGAACGGCTGCCAGACCTGCTTTGCCAATGCATCTTTCCAAAATTCTCCAGCAAGACAGAATGCCAGGCCACTGCTAATTGGCCTGGCTTGTGGGATCTGCAGGGCGGCTTGAAGGCTGCGAGGCCGGAATTTGCATGGCCTGTCTTCAGCTGGAACTTTCTGACACATCAGGCATCAGCAAGTACGTACCCAGATATTTGGCAAAAGAAAAAACTCTTGATCCGAATTGGAACGGGCCTGCTGACTATTGCCTTCTGCTCCCGGCATACTCACCTGCGAAGGGAACGGCTGCCAGACCTGCTTTGCCAATGCATCTTTCCAAAATTCCCCAGGAAGACGGAACGCCAGGCCACTGCTAACTGGCCTGCTGGTTGATAGGATCTGCAGGGCGGCTTGAAGGCTGCGAGGCAGGAACTTGCATGGCCTGTCTTCAACTGGCACTTTCTGACAAACCGGCATCATCAAGTGCATAGTCAGATGTTTGGTGATCCGAATCGGCAAATCAATACGATTTTGCATTTTTCAGTGTGTGTGTGTGTGTGTGTGCGTGCAAGCTCCACTACTGCCACCAGGCCTGGTGTCTACTGCCTTCTGCTCCTGGCATGCTCACCTGTGAAGGGAACGGCTGCCAGACCTGCTTTCCACATGCATCTTTCCAAAATTACCCAGGGAAGACAGACTGCCAGGCCACTGCTAGCCGGCCTGGCTTGTGGGATCCGCAGGGCGGCTTGAAGGCTGCGAGGCAGGAACTTGCATGGCCTGTTCTTTCTGAATTGGCACTTTCTAGCACATCAGGCATCGGCAAGTGCATAGTCAGATGTTTGGCAAAAGAAAAACTCTTGATCCAAATCGGCACCTCATCATGATCAAGCTCCACTACTGCCACCGGGCCTGCTGACTGCTGCTTTCTGCTCCCGGCACACTCATGTGCGAAGAGAACGGCTGCCAGGCCTGCTTCTCAGTAAACATGCGAAGAACAGTGATTACAGCCACCCCACTTCCTCTGCAACTGGCCTGCGTATTGCTCTGCCCTGCCAAACCGTGCAGTTTGTGGTCCTGACATTGTACAAACTGAACACTCCCAAGTCTGCAGGTTGAATGTGGCAATGCCCGACACCTTGCTGAATGCCCTAGCAGAAAAGTGGATGATCGGTAGAATGGTAAGGCATGCTGACTACGCCTATGCCTATGCCTATGACAGCCGAGAGTGCCTGAGTGGCATATTCTTCTGCGGGACCGCTTTGGTGAGGTGGAAACGGCTGCCAAGCCTGACACAACGCTAAAGCAGCTTCATTCCCGGGTTGCGAACTCCCTGAGAGAACCCAACTGCCCTCCCAGCCACTTGGCTCATGCCCTCACGTTTCAGATGGTCATGCTAGAGCGTCGCATGTCGGTCTGCCCTGCGTTTGCTGCTCTTCTTGTGGCAGGCTTTGCCACTCGATCCTTCCACTTCTTTCTGCACTTTGTCTACCTGGTGCACAACTTCTCGAGGCGTGGAACCTTGAAAAAATTAACGGTGGTCGCCATGAGCGGTTCGCTCTGAGCAAAATCAGTCGGAAGATGCCTGATGTCAGATATGAGAAACGTGCTTTGATTTCGCTCTCCCCGTCCTTCCTATTCTGGTTATTCTTCTTCGGTACCCCCATCCAAACAAGACTTCCAAGACGAGAAATAGATTGTATAATCCCAGAAATTATTATGGACATGATCCCAAATGCAGGACTTATGAAGATGTAAACTTCTGGATGTCCAAAAACAAAAATAAATGCTGATAGAATATAGGATCTCCTCCAAATATAGGATCAAAGAAAAGTGTATTAGAATGAAGATCACACACCATATCTCTCTCTCTCTCTCTCTTTCTTTCTTCCTTCCTTCCTTTCTTTCTTTCTTTTCTTGTTGCTTTCTTTCTTTCCTTCCTTCTTTCTTTCTCTTTCCTGACTATACAACTCGCAATGCAGCCGATCTTCGGCCACTTCACAGCACCAAGCCACTATGCCGCCCGGCCATATCTCTCTCTCCCTCCCTCCCTCCCTCCCTCCCTCCCTCCCTCCCTCCCTCCTACTCTCTGTCACTCTCTCTTACTCTCTCTTGCTCTCTCTTACTCTCTCTTACTCTCGAAACTCTTCTATCGGTCAGCCGGGAAATCTCCTGCGGTCTCACCCGATTTCTCTTCACATGCCTCCTCTCCCCCCCTGCGATGGCCTGGAAGGTGGATGGATCTGAGAAGCCTTTCATGACCAGCAGCTTTGACAGCAACAAACCCATGGGCATCCCAGGTCGGCCTGCATTGGTGGTCTGCTCAAGGTTCTGCTCGAGCTCATCCGTCCCAAACCTGTTTCATGAAGCTTAAAACAACTGGGATGGGATGTTCCCCCTTATACTAACAGTGCCGAATAGGGATTCTAGTACCCCCGTGTATAATCCCGATTAAAGACTGCTAGTACAAGGGGGAACATCCCAACAAAGGAATTCAAAAAACAAACAACTCCGGAGGCAAGGCTGCGGCTGTGGGAAACTGTGGCCCTCCGTGAAGTCCAGGTCGGATTCCTCGTCCTGAATGACGACCGCTGCTGCTACACGGGGACATAATTGGGCTTGCTCATGACACCAGTCTGAGCACTGAGAATGTGGCCACATCAGCGTGTGGCAGGAGCGCTTCATGTGGCACGATAGCTCCAACTGGAATGTCCTCACCCTCCGGCACCCAGATCCAGACCCTCAGCAAACAAGGACAATTCAAGCCGCCTGTGGTCCAGGTGGCCTTTGTGTGTCTGAGCCGTGGACCCATCCTCGTCCAATGGTGGCGGGGGCGGGGGAGGAAGGACCTAGCCGGCCCGACCGGCACATCAGCCATCTCTCAAAGAGCACGAGTCGAACCTCCCAAATGGCCGACCACCCGGCTGGTTTCGGAGGTCTCTCCCACAACACCGTCTGGCACACCTGTGAGCACGACAGCGCCCATCACAGGCAAAGAAGAGCCTCCTGATCTGCCTCTGGTGCTTTGGTCTGGATGACTTCTCTCTTCGCCCTTGGCAGGACGTCATCACGTTCAGAAGCCCAGCTCTCCTTCCCACGGCATCCCAATCACCAAGCTTCCGCACACTGGAAGCGAAAGTGAAGCTGCTTGCCGAGGCGTTGACATCCTTGGATTCAGACAAAAGGATCACAAAAGGCAACCGATGTTGAGGAGATATTGCTGCAAAGACAACCAATGCAGACGTCATGTTTGTCCACAACATGGTCGGGTTTTTGGTTGTGCTACATTGGCACTTCACATGCCACTGGCCCTGGTAACCAGCGCAAGTGCATCTGGCACTATGCTGGTATTGCACATGGGTTCCAGCAGGGAAAACCTACTTAAGATATTCTTATTCAAATCGATTCCTGCACATCAAGAACCCTCTCGAAAACTTCAGCTGTTGATGCTCAGAAGGCGAACATCGAAAACAAGGAGTCCTGCGCATCGAGAAATGAGGAGTGCTCAGCCTGGGGCTTTGGCAGCCTTCAGCAACTGTTTTCAAATCCAAGCCTGGAGGCAGACCGCGACTTTCTTCGGCTCTTTCACCAAAGCCTAACTTTCCTGGAATCCAAAAGCGCCGCGTTTCACCTCATGGCTGAGGCGTTGCACATCGTTTGCACTTGTCACTACGCTTGTTACTACGCTTGCACTACTAGGCTTTGTTGCTACGCTGACAAATCTAAGCTCCGAAATCGGCGTGTCGAAACAAAGCTGCTGTGTCGACCATGGGCCTTCCACCATGAGCTGCAGGGCCTCTTTCAAGCCTTCAATCGGCACCTGCGCATCGCGAAGGCAAGTGATAACATGGTGACTGGATTTTCCCAAGGCGCAACACAACTTAAGTGAATGATCTCCATGTACCAACATCAGAACCTCTTTGACGAAGAACGTGTCTTGAGCTCCAAAAGATGTCGAAAGCACCAGGTCGCCGTTGCTCGACCAGCCATTGTACAGGGCGGTCACATTCCTAAGACAGCCAAAGACACATGCAGCATGCTCACTGCAACTCATCTCCAGCTAAGTGCTGCAGTGTCGAGTGTCGTCTCAAGTCCTGGATTCGCATTCCCAGTTCCTGGCAGCACACATCCGCGACGCGTGCACGCAAAGAAGGCAGCAGAGCAAATGAGGAGGACCACGATCTGTGATGGAGGAGGAAATCCGGCACACAAACACCGTGTGGCCAAAGAGCCGTCCTGGCTTCAGCTTCCGATAGCCCAGTCCACTGGAGGTGAAAGCCTGACAGCAAGGCGCAGACTTACCAGAAAGCCTTTCTTGTTGCAGTCCTCAGCACTTGCTCTAGTTGCTTCCCGGCATTTGCCTAGCCATCCATCTTCTTGCAACCAGTCTGTGCTGTCAAATTGCAATGCAGCTTGGTTGTAGCAACTAAGAGACCCACGGCATCTTGCGGTGCAGCGGTTAGCCTTGAAATTTAAGATTTCATTCACAGCTCCTGGGGTGGACATCATGGACACACTACACTGGTCACTGGCGACAGTTCTCAGTCCACGACTCTACTGGCGGCTTTGGTTGCCTCCCATGCAGGATTCGACAAAGAACATGCGTCGGTGTCAAAAACTTGCCACCCCAGTTCGTCCGGTCCTCTCAATGGAATACAACTCAACGTCGAACGTCAGCGGACCAGTGGGTTTGCTGGTAGCCTCAGAGCTTCATACGACGAAACTGGGGCCAAGTTGCCAGGACCTAACTTGCAGCTTTCACAGCGTCTGAAGGCACATTGAAGAAATTGCTCTAGGTTAGAACAGTTGAGCTTATGGCCAAGAGACAGACTCGTTGTTGCCAAAAGCCAGCTCTGGAGGGATCCAAAACCGGCGTGACTCACCAGGTGCCATCATCTGAAGTCCTGCAAGCCCAGAGTATACTGAGTAGACACCAAAATGCAGAGCGTCGCCTCTTCCATGTTGCATGCGAAACAACTTGCAACAACGCACTGCTGTGTCAACTGCCTTGCCCGCGAAAACACTTTCAAGCGCAACTCAAAACCTTCAAAGCAGTTTCAGGTACCTACTGGGGGCGCACACTTTTCGCGCCTTAAACCCCCCCTAAGCCCCCCCCCCCCCCCCAAGTTTCCTTAAGCCCCCAATAAGCCCAAGATCTGCATTCTCTCAACAGACCCGTCTGCAGAAGTCTTGCCGATACTAAGAGGTTGTCAGAAATGGCAATGCAGTAGTAGGTATGCAACGCAGTATGAATAGCTATACACAGAAAGTTTCAAAGATGCGTTTCCGTCCTTCAGTCCATCCAGGCATGACCGAGTTCACGCGAACCAAGCGCTTCTCGTTTCTGCTGCTGTCGATCCTGAGACTTTTCAGGCCTGCTGACGCTATCTAAGCAACTTCAGAAGGGCGCCAGTCAATCCAAAGAGCATCTTGCCAGCTGGTGTCCACCCCGTGTAATCAATCAAAACCTGCACGGGGGCACAGCGGCACAATCACCCAACGATCCGGACGAGCGCATGTGGACGAGCGCACGTGGACTCGATTGTGTCGCACTTGCATCGTGAGGCGTAGTCTCCAGCCTTGTCCCAAGCCTGCGGCCGCTCACAAGATGGATTCCTCGTGAGGTCAACTCCCCAAGCATTGGGAAGACCAGCTGGCTATCATGGACACGATGCTTTGCGGCGCAGGCGCGTGAGAGGAATAGACTTGGACAGCGCGCATGTCGGCCGCAGAAGCAGCTTCGACTTCAAACCACCTGAGAGCAATGCCATTACTGTTGCACACACTGTACATCTGTACGCACAGTTGTGCACACTTCTGAGCAGCACAACTTTACACAAACTCTCTGCCAACCAGTGAGCATCAATCACGTCACAGTCTGCTTGTGTGTCTGATTTTTTCTAGAAGTCACCAGGCTAGAGCCATTTTAACTTTGGAAAGGAAAGCAGCGGCGAATCCAAAGCACCAGCTCCTCTAAGCTGATAAGACAGGCCCAAGCCACTCGAGGTGATCTCGACATCGCTGGGTGGCTGGGCGACATCTTTGGGAGCTGAGGGATCCAAGAACCCCAGGTCAAGGCCTCAGCCGACACGGAATTGTTTGGGGTTTTGGGGTTTAAAGTTTTGGGGTTTGGGGTTTTAAGTTTTGGGGTTTAGGGTCAAAGGACGACATGTCTCAAGTGCGAATGCCCACCTGGCGCAGCATAGGCAGGCAAGCTCTCCGCAACTCCAGCGGAAGCTGCTGCGTTGAAAAACAATCGTCTCCTGGAACAGATCACCACTTCCTCAAAATGTCAATTTGGGCAAGAAAACACCAAGCCAGTACCAGTAGGACTGCTTGATGTGCAGCTGTAAAGGGCCCCAGGCAGGAACCTCCAAGAGCCTGGCAATGGCAGCCCGCGCCTGACTGTCCAAGAAGGGGTCGGAACTGCAGCCGCCGATCTGCGATTGTATAGCCTAACAGGGCTTTATGGTCCCTGTCCCCGGTCATGACTTTGCAATCTTTGCTATTGCAATCCTCAAGAATGAGAACTCGGCGCTCTGGGACCCCAGCGCAGCAACTGCTAAGCCAGCCAGGATGAAGGCTGACTGGAGTCTGCGACGTGGCATTGCCATGGCAACGTTCTTCCCGCGCGAACTCACAAGCTAACCAGAAGTTGTCAAGTGCACGGAAAAGCGCTGCTCTAAGCCTTCCCGAAGATAAATCTGCTTGCTTAATTACTGGGATTCTGCTCTGCTTCTGCCAATAGGGGTGTCACGTTGCGTGGCCTACGTCTGGAGGCTGCACAGAGCATGGTGATCTATGGTGCCCTATCGATCAAGTGGGAATGTGCTTTGCCACTTGAAGCTGAGATGTCGCAGCAGCGCGCAAACATTTTCTCAAGGTTCTGGTGCCTACCCCCGGCATCCTGCATCCGAGTGCGCCACACATGCTGTTGCTGCTGAATCATAGCCCTTGGCACGACGTGCTGAAACAAAGTAGGGCAGCTGACATCCTAGAAGCAACTTAGGAGCCAGCAGAGGCACGCGGGGGCCTTCCGGGAGAGGCTGCAAAACTTGGCCGGGAAGAGGCTCGGTGTCTTCTCGAGCAAACGTCGATCTCACCATCGCCGGATTGATAACCTGGCACACTAGAGCAGCTAGAGTCTGTTTTGAGAAGCTGAGCCGAACATTAGAGTCTGAGCCAAGAACCATCGCCATGGCTACAGCGTCCCTACACCGTCAGAGCAACTTACAGCAACCATCATCAACGGCAAGCAAAGCATTGTAAAGCAACTGCCTCAAAATGCAAAGCCACATGCAGATCATCTAAGCGGCCAGGCGAAACCCAATGCGCGCACACAGCCTGCAAAGCTCCTTTGTTCGAATATGCCAAGCACGAATCTGCTGTGCTGCGGCTCATTTCGGGCACACAGGGCAGCATTGGCCATTGTCGGTCGTCGGCATGATCTCCTCCTCTTCACACATCGTTGGGAAGCACCACACGTACGGGCACATGTCACTCTCGGCCGCACCAAACTTACCCGTGGCTCCGACAATCTTTGGCTCGATCTTGATGGCAGGATTGACGCAATATGCGCAGCAATGGCCGTCGTACTTTGTTGCGGTGAATCCAGTGGGGCATTTCAGCTCCCCACAAACGACATCCTCACAGGCATCCACGATTGCCTCAGAAGCCTTCAATTGCACCAGCATCTTTGTCTGCCTGTCCTGGTCCATACCGACAACTGCATTGCCGTTCAGGAGGCTAACCGGAAAGGTGTCCAGCGTTTCGTCGGTGTTCTCGGTGTCCTCGGCGCCCTCCTCGGCGTCTTCCTCAGTGGCCTCCATGGGCTCGGCCTCCACGGGCTCGGACTCGACGGACTCGGGCTCGACGGACTCGGGCTCGACGGGCTCGACGGACTCGGGCTCAACGGGCTCGGGCTCAACGGGCTCGACGGACTCGACGGGCTCAGTTGGCTGATTGGATCCCCGGAAGTATGTGGAAAGACCAAGGTGCACCAGGGCAAAGATCAGCAAGATCTGGCGACCCATGTGGCCCATGTTGAAAGGGCAGCGATGGCAAAGCCAAACTTCAATTGAGGCTGGGAGTTGAGCAAGTTGAGCAGCTCGTGCTGCAGACAGATGTCTGATAAGGTGTGATTCCGGTATGTAACACGATGAAATGCGAATGCACAGGATGTTTCGGGCTTTGTGAGTCAGGCTGTCCCCCTCTTGCCGCTCAAAACCAACCAGCCTGATTGTTTTTTTTGCTTCGGCGGCTTGCATTCTCAGGCTTCTTCCCAAGGTGCCGTGACCTTGTTAGGCTCAGTGCCGGAGTCTTCAACCCCCTCACTAGCAGATGGATCCCACCGATCTCTGACGTCAACACACTCCAGCCTGCGAACACAGGCGCATCAGCAGGCCGAAGAGGTTGAATAAGTGTAGGAAGACACGTGTCATTGATCTAACACACCGACCTTGCAAAGTAAGTTCCTGAGTATAACTGAGCTGTAAGCACTAAATGGGCCTCATCCCAATTGAAACTTCATCATCCTCGCCCCTCTTCTTGTGCTTGCTCGACTTGACATGCCTGATGCTCAACGGAGTCGTGCGAAATACACACCTCTCATGCAGAACTAACGTGTCCTGGGGGCAAACTCCTGCATGGCCGGCATCAAGGCGATGGCAGGAACCTGCGCAGAGGGGCAGATGACAGGCTGAAAAACATGATCGGTCTTGCTCCCTCTGCTCGGACCTTGAGCTTCTCCCCACTCTCGCCCTGGCCGAAAGGAAAGCCGCCCAGCATTCAAACGCACATGTAAGGGGCCATGCCAGCGCCTCATCTTCGCGCAGGAAGCGTCCAGCCAGCAATATGGCCTGTCCAAATGCAGAAACCTCTGCTGCATGTGAGCACCTTTATGCTGCATAAGGGCCGAATAGCACCTGCAAGCGATTTCCGTCCGGGCTACAAAACGCAAGGAGGACTTCCAACCAATCTCAGGAGCGCAGAGCAACCAAATGATAAGGCCTTAACAGCCAGGTGGAGTTGGCCCGCGCCACGGCCCAAAACCACGGCAACTGCATTTTCCCTGAAGGACAGCCCGGGTTTCGAAGCTTGGGAAAGCAGTGCTTGCACCTAGGCATGTCTGCATGGGAACACCTACCTCGGCAGGTTTCTCCCTGACGGTTCTTCTCCTCTCTCCCCATCCACGGTTCTCTTCTTCGCCCCTATCTGACCTATCTCGTGAACTTCTTTCTGCAACCATCTCGCCAGTATGCCGAGTCATGTGGACAAGGAAGCACATCGAGAACCAGCTAGTTCTCTCATTCATTGGGGATGTTTTAAAGCGGTACGCTGCATGCTTTTAACAAAGCTTCACGACTTTCCCAATCCAGAGCTATCAACAAGAGCTGTCAACAACAAGGAGCTTCCACTCTCAGTTCGGGCTTCTGCGGGTACCCAAGAACGGCTTTCTTACTTTTCCCTTCCATTCCTCCCATGGCAGCACGAATGCTTTGAAACAAGAACCCATCCTGAGGCGGCTCTTCACAGCCGCAGCCATCTTTGAAATTTTTTCCTTGACGCCTGCCGCGGCAACCCACACATGTGGCGACTCTGCAAGCATCTTCAAGCATCGTACCTACGCGCACCTACGTAGCTACATGGGAAAGGCGCTCCTGTGGCCAGGACCTGCTTTTCATCCACAGTCACATCTTCTAACCTGACAAGGTGGCCGAAACTTCAAAATTTCAACTCTGCAGGGGCGCTTCAACAGCCTTGGCCGCGGTAGAAGCATGCACTCGAAGAAGAGGACATTAGAAACTTCATCCTCCACTCCCCGGACAGGAGAATGAGCTTCTCCAACAAACCCCCACGCAAATGTCAGCTGGAGCCTCCCCATCACTGCCGACACTTCTTATCTCCTTGAAGTATGGCACTGCTCCGAGGACCTGCTCACAACTGCATAGCTCAAGTAACCCGCATGATGAAGTGGCAGAATCGCGGAGACGACCTGTTCACCTTTCAGGTCGCTTCCTTGAAGCATCCTCAGGGTTTCTCAACAAGTAAGCTTCGTGCACATGCAGCCACTGTCTTTTCAGGGTAGATACATGGCCCCTCAGTGTCGGCCCTTAAAAGGGGACCCATTTGTGTAGCTCTTGTATACCTTGTACAACCCAAGGCTTCGGAACCCTCTTAACGGAGGTAAAGGACCATATTAAGGGCCCGTCTAACTACCTGTCTACAAAGCTTCTTGAACCAAGTGGCTCATTGGCCCGCGAAATTGCCTCAAGTGCAACAGCATCAACACATGTCAACACCATGTTTGCATTCATGAAATGCTGCAGCTGGGAAACCTTCAGCACCTCGTTCGTCGGACGAGCTCCAATGGTACGCAAAACCACGCGTCCAGTCAACTGCATCCGCTTCTTGATCCTAGTTGCTATACCTCAGCCGCTGATGATAAAAAAAAACCCAAAAAGCGAAGCATCTGCATGTATGACATCGAAGACACGTTTTGCACGAAAGTCGTTGGAAACGAAAATGTGTCCATTCTGGTCCTCCATGCTGCCCCCACGTCTTCATGAAACCAAAGACTGCACCTAAACACTTACCATTGACCAGTCCTGTTTTTCTCGCCACTTTCTTTGCCGAGTTTGGTTTGCTTCCCTGGGCACGGGATCGGTCAACAAACCGTACCTGCAAATACAGCAAAGTGTGGTGAATGTGGTGCTTCACCGGCCTTCCCGGAACCGACGCGGACTGATCCGTTTTGGACCAAATCGTGTCAACCTCGGGTCACTATCACAGACCATAGATGCGTTTCTTGTGCGTCGTCACTTGCACCATGATGCGAACGTGGGCTCCTCAGCCCCTGGCCATTGCACTCTCTGAACTGTCAGCTTGATGCAAACCCACCTGGATAAGGCAGGAAAAAGACAGGCTTGATTTGAACGTCCAACTGCAGCATTCAACCAGCACTCTCTGCCGTCATGCTGCCAGTGGTCTCCGCACCACATTTCTGTGTTGGTTCGCAGTGACAAGCGCACTGACAAACGCACTGAAGCTGCACAGCTTCACAGCCACCTCAGACAAATGCCAAACTTTACGTTTTGAGCTGATTAGCATTGTTTGGATGTCCACCGCTGCATGCCGGCAGAGAGTCAAGAGTGCTCAGCACAGCAATCCAAATCCGCGGTTGCCGCTGCTTCGTCATAAGTGAAAAAGCGTTTTTATTAACTGTCAATGCACATTTGTACATGAGAGCAAACCAGACGCGACATCTTCATGCACTGGCTGTTGCACAGGGGGTGATTGAACAAAGATGACGCAAAATGATGAAGAATCACAAAGCTCATATCTAACATTCATGCAATTGTTACTGTTGTTCAGAACGCTGCATACCATTGACACCCATGTCTTGAGTTGTTCTCAACCACCGTGGCTGCGTGCAAAAAACAAAATCAGAAGTTGAAACATCACGTAAACTGTAAATCTCGAGGCCCACATCAAAACACGGTTTGCAAGCCGCAAAACATGATTCTAAAAGAACAGCAAGGCCAACGTTGGAATTCAACTACCTTGGCAAAATGACGCTCCCAGGCCCAATGCAAAACTGCTGGATTCACAACAAATCCTTGTCGCCCTTTCTCCTTTTTCTCTTGGCGAAAAAGCGTATGAAGTATGCGGCTATTCTGTAGAACCCAACAAGACCGAACGCCATCGGCCCGTTCCTGCAAGAGCTTGCCAACCCTAAAGACGAGTATCAATTCAACTTCCACAAGCGGCACTGCCAAATTGTATTCACATTGCATGCCATAGGCCATACATGTGACATTCGCCTGGCTGAAAGGGATGCACTGTCCACCTCGAATGCCCCCCGCTCTGATCCACACTTCACAACAGCTTGCGGAGAAGCTGATGGCACTGGTTCCCATGTTGCTGGCAATCTTCCAAAGTCGCCGCTCGAATCACATGGTAGTAGCTTGGGGCCCATCTCCATTGGCGGCCGCCTTTGTTTGCACGTAGATCTCACAACTGAAGAATGTCACTCCTGAACGCATCCACTCGCCGCGAAAAGGCCAGAGTACTTAATACATGTCCAAACCTTTCTGCCGGCATGATTCAATTCAATCGACATCAATCACCTCGTAACATGAAGCTTACTCAGCTGACGACGACGACGACGACGACGACGACGACGACGACGACGTGACGACGACCGACGACGACGACTGCTGCCACTTCTACTTCTACTTGTACTTCTACTTCTACTTCTACCTCTACTTCTATTACTTTCACCCACCGCCACGACGACGACGACGACTACTTCTACTATACTAGTACTAGTACTAGTACTAGTACTGGTACTAGTCCTGGTACTAGCACGAGGGCTAGTGCTACTGCTGGTGCTGGTGCTGGCGCTGGTCCTGGTCCTGGCCCTGGTACTGGTACTGGTACTAGTACTTGTACTGGCACTATTATTATTACTACTACTACTACTACTACTACTACTACTACTACTACTATGACGACTACTACGACTACTACGACGACTACTACTACTACTACTACTACTACTACTACTACTACTACTACTACTACTACTACTACTACTACTACTACTACTACTACTACTACTACTACTCTACCTCTACTACTACTACTCTACCTCTACTACCTCTACTACTACTACTACTACTACTACTACTACTACTACTACTACTACTACTACTACTACTACTACTACTACTACTACTACTACTACTACGTCTACTACTACTACTACTACTACTACTACTACTACTACTACTACTACTACTACTACTACTACTACTACTACTACTACTACTACTACTAGTAGTGCTACTAGTGCTACTACTGCTACTACTACTACTACTACTGCTACTACTACTACTACTACTACTACTACTACTACTACTACTACTACTACTACTACTCCTGCTACTACTACTACTACTACTACTACTACTACGACAACAACTACTACTACTACTAGTACTACTTCTACTACTACTACTACTACTACTACTACTACTACTACTACTACTACTACTACTACTGCTACTACTACGACTACTACTACACAACTCCCAAACGTGGCAACTACAAATACAACGACGAGCCAGTCAACGCGGCTACGTCTTTCCCAGCTGCAGCTGAGCTCTTGGCAAATTCTTCTATGGTCTTATGCGTGCTGCTGGGGTTTTGGCAATTTTGTTGGACCAGATTCTTATGCTGCACAAGGATGGTTTTGGACATCAACTGGTCTGGACCTTACAAGAACGCTTTGATCTTCTTATAGGCCTCCTGCACTTTGTCCTTCTTGTGTTCTTCCAGGCTCGGTGCTTTAGAAAACCCAGCATCCTGCTGATGCCCCGGATTTCTGCTGTTCTGGAACAGTAATGGCCTGAAATACTTCTGAGACTGCATTGCACTGGCAAAACAAGCGCGGTTGCTGCTTTTTTTGCCCTCGTCTTTTGAAGGTGAGACAGTTGCAGGCGCGAAAACCAAAGTACACAACCAAAAACCACACACAACCACAAAAACCCGCAGCAATCCGATCAAAAGCGCCAAACGTCAAACTGTACTTGAAAAGAAGTCGTGACCACAAAGAAGCAACTGCTACGCAGAGGTTCTCATCCAGGCTCAGTACACCAGCTAACAGGCTTCCGGTTACCTGGGAAGTACATTGCCTAAGTGCCAGCTAGCAGCCTGAAAGTCTTGCGCTGCGCGGAGCTGTTACAAAAGGAGCTCCGCAGCAACCGATTTTTTGAAAGTGCTTGAATAGGTTAAAGCAGCAGTTTCTTGCATCCTTTTGGGCCATCTGGCAAAAGTTTTACTTTCTGCTGAGGCCTTCCGGAGAAGTTTGAGGCAGTAGTTTGAGATGGCTTGATCACTCTAAGCCCTCCAAGGAAAGTTAAAGCAACATTTTGAAGAAGCCTATCACTTCTAGATCTTCAGGCAGCAGTTTGAGAGCTTAATTTTTTGGCCTTCTAAAAACCTAGAGGCATTGTGAGAGTCAACCCACTACTTCTGATTGCCATACTGCAGAAGGGCGGGCGATCTTCTGCAGAAGACTGTAGGCAAGGTGTCCAAGATGCCGAGCAAGGTTCGGGGGGGGGGGGAGGGTTCGAACGGGTTCAGCTTCAGGTTCGAGGGGGGGAGGGGAACAACAACATTGAGAACCTGGGTTCAACCTGGGTTCAACCTGGGTTCAACCAGGTTAAACCTGGGTTCAATTTTTTTCCAAGTTAAGCGAACAAATGCGATCTACCTTCTTGGTGTTTGGGTTGTGAAAACCCGTGCCTCTATTCCGGCACATCTGATGGCCCTCTTGGCCCTGTAGTACAGGGGAAAGACACCTCCTCCTAAGCTCTTTGGGATGCTACCAGAGGTTGTACCTCATGAGAGGATTGAACCTTCTGGCAAAACATTCCTCAAGGTTTCTGGTGCACCAGGTGCACACCGTGAGAGGAAATTGGCCAGGAGTGTTCTCTGGCAGCGAGGATGAACCTCAGCTTATCATTCTTTGGGATGCTACCAAAGGTACCTCATGAGAGGTTAGATCTCCTGACAAGCCATTCCCTCAAGGCCGCTGGTGTACCTGACGCAGGCTGAAAGAGGGGATCGGTCAGGAGTGGCTTCTCTGGAAGCGAGGATGACCTTCACTTTATCCTCACTGGGAGGATGCAACTTCCTCGGTTGCGTTGCTTCAGCTGCCAGTGCCTTCAGGGATTTTGCACAGGGGTCTGCTTGCTGCAACTTGGGCTGTCGCTTGCACCTGAAAGAGGCTGCGGATGGCATTGGTTGGCTCGGACTTGAACTGCACCTTGCACCTGGGGTCCTTTTAAAACTGCATGCAACTGAAAGTTTTTGCAAAACATTTTTGGTCTTCAAGGACAACTGTCCACTACAACCTTATTGTCTGTTCCCGACCAGTTTTAAAACATTCTGTGTACCCTATGTTGGAGCCAATGCGCTTTTTGCAGGGCCTGGAGGTGGCCTCGTTGCTCTTGCGAGCCTGCTTTTCCTGCAGGAAGACCTTATACACTGGGTGCTGATTTTCCCCAATGGCAGTAAGGACCTTTTTCAACCCTGCTCAGGAACTCTTCGGCCTTTTTGCTGCAATGGTCCTGGTACTGACTGGCTGCCCGAGTATCAGGGTGGGCCAGCTCGCCACTTTTTCCCACACAGCTTATCCGCCAGGTCATTGACCTGCTGTCTCTCCGAGTTTTCCGCACCCACCTTCTAGAGGAACTCCTCCTCTGAAACATGGGACGGAACCCATTTCATTTTGAGGCGGTTGACATCTGTGGCTTGCAGCCCCCACCAGATGTCACCGTGGGTTTTCCCGGTTTTGGGCTGCGGACTCGTTTCGGGACACCAAGGCAGTCTAGTGTCGTGTCAATAGGGCCTTCGGTATAACGGGCCAGCTGCAAAACTGCATACATTTCACCCCGAAAAACCGTCTGTGGCCCAGGGTTGGCCGACGATAGCTCCGACCTGGACATAGTCTTGGCCCTGTCTCTTGCAGGCCACCACTGCGTAGGCTACCTTCCGGAGTCGCGGGTCCGCCGTGAAGGGGCCACCACTAGCATCTGTGCCATAAACAAGCTCTGGGTCACTGAGGGGCTCTTTGTCAGCCCATATGCCCAAAAAGATGGGATTGTCTTCCTGAGGAGGTGGTACCTGCCATTCAGGTTTGGGCGGGAGGCCCCTGGTCCACAGCGATCTCGGGCCTTGGGCCCTGCCTTCTTGGAACCATGTTGGCGGGCTTCCCACCAAGCACAATCCAGGAGCACATGCTCCCAGTCCGCTTCCTGGTGGCACCGGGGGCACACTTTGACAGCAGAGTTCTGGCTGCACACCAGGGCACCCTGCCAAACACACCTCAGGGCAGCTGCTTTCGTGGTTCGCCCTTCTTTCTTAAAACCCCCCAACAGTTTCCTCCCTACTGTCCAGTCGATTCCCCCCTTTAGCTCAGGAGCAGCGAGGCCGGTGGCGATGCGGCGGTCTACTTCTTCCTGATAAGTTTGCTGGAGGAGGTCAAGGACACGACACTCCTGCTGTGGGGTGTGCATGGTGTGCCTGGTGCCCTGGGTGTCCAGCCACTCATCACTGTCTCTAGGCTGCCAACCCAGGTCAAGCAGGTATGCAACTGTAGCTGCAAGAGGGCCCTTAACCATTTGCCAC